CAGGGAGGATGCCACAAGCCCCACGGCCCCGCAGAGAGTCCCCCGCAACTTGTCCGGTGCTGCATTCGTTCATGAATGCCGTCACCAGGGGAGCAGAAGGTCCTTCAGCCGGAGGTGCTGCTCACAGAAGGTGGAGTGGGACCAGCATCGAAGACGTGGGACCAAGGACATCCACCTCTTTCCAGCTTGAAGCTCTTCCTACAGAGAACGAAGGCTTATGGGAAGCATCCCAACATTTCAGAAGAGTGTAAGAACTGCACAGCCCTGGGAAAACCCCAAAACAACCAGTGGATGTGCCCCTAGGCCGTTCCGCCAACCTTACAACCAAACCAGTGGGCTCAAATGGCAAGGAAGCAGGATTCAGGTTAAATGTTTGGAAGAGGATATCTTTCTATGTACCCAATACTTTAATATTTAATAGATTTTAATTATTATTTTATCTCAGTTGTGGGTTATTTAGTTTTATTATTGTTGGGGTATTTATAATAAGATGATGGTATTTATATTTTTCCTGTTGCATTTATTGACTTTGTTCTGAGCCACCCAGAGACTCAGAGTGATTGGACAGCCTAGAAATACCCCAAACAAACAAACAAACAAACAAACAAACAAATAGGATGGGATTGTGGAATGGCTAGTCTTGGAAAATGGTGGCGTCTTCCTCATCAGAGGTTCCTAAGCAGAAGTCGATCTCTTCTTGGGGATACCGAAGTGGCGGGTTGGGCAAGATAGCCTTTGAGGGCCCCTGCGTCTCTTGGCTGCTAGGATTAAATATACACTTGTGCAAAATGGGTCAAAATATGAGCCTACCCAGGTTTTAAGCTGGTCTTCGAGTCCAGCTCTCTGGAGCGCTATTATACTGTGTGACACGGCTGGGCCTCAGACAGGGCCTTTTCAGTGGAGGCCCACGCCTCCGAATTCTTTCTCCTCGAGACAGGCATGGCTTTCATTGGTGCTGGCTCATAAGATGACAGCGATCATTTTCTCCTTCAAAAAGTCAGCCCATGATGCCTTAGCGTGCCGCCTCCTGCATTTTTTTCTTTCTCTTGGCTGGTATTGCTCATTAATTAGGGGCACTATTTGGTAAACGGTCAATAGGGCATCTTTGTGAGCCACCTTGAGAAGGCTATGCCCTAAAAGGGCTAGAACTCTTTTAAATAAATAACAAAACACACCAAAGCCACTGCGGCATGTGCAAGAGAACACCGTGTATGTATGCACTTTCACATCGATGGCCCTTGCAATGAGCACTAGCAACTTGAAATAAATGCAAAACAGGTGCTATTAAGAAGATATTGGGGTGCGATTCAGTCTGGTTACCCCTAACCCCCTGATCCTGGAGGATTGTGGGCATTTTGCATAGGGCAAGGCGAACATAAACGGCACTTCTGCTCCCCAAGACCTTTCAAGCGCAGCTGTTGAAGGGTTGCACTTCAGAGTGGAACGAAAGGAAGCCGAGGTCTTCCCAGATGTTCTGCAAGATGCCGGTTGCCTGGTCTGCTCTCCTCCCACACCCTGGAATGCCCTCAAAACAATCCCTCGGGATCCGACTTGCCACCTGGGAGATGTGCCCATGCAAAGGTTTCCACGCCTGCAGCAACGGAGGAGGGAAGGCAGTCCGAGTCAAGGGACAGCTGGCGTGCTTTTCGACTCTCACCTGGGTCTCCAAGAAACGCAACACTCTACTCTACTCTGTCCCGTGGCCATAGGATTGCTTTCTCGGACGCTTCTCCCCATATCAAGGTCAAAGTTGACCAACAATAGCACAAAAATATACACGGTTCAAAACCATTACAACAATTACCCATTAAAAATAACCAGCCCATAAAAGACTGAACTGAAAAAGGAAAAGACCTTGGAGTAATTGCGGACAACAGGTTATTCTCACGTAACGCCAGGCCTCCACCAGCTCCACTGGCTTCCAACTGAACTCTGGGCTCAATTCAAGGTGCTCGTTTTGACCTATCAAGCCCTAAATGACTTGGGATCAGGATACCTGAAGGAGCGCCTCTTCCCTTACTTGTCCTCATGCCCCTTAAGATCTGCAGGAGAGGCTTTGCTCCGGGAACCCTCTTTAAAGGAGATAAAATGAACAACTACTCAGAGCAGGGCCTTCTCTGCGGTGGCGCCCAGACTCTGGAACGCGCTGCCCAGAGAGGTTCGCCTGGCGCCGAGTTTATATTCTTTTCAGCGCCAGGTGAAAACCTATTTATTTGCCCACCATTTTAAATGTTAGGAATTTTAATCTGGTTTTAACTTCACAGTTGCTTTTTGGTTTTGATTTTCCTTCATTTTGAAATGTTACTGGTTTTATTGCATATTTAACCATTTGTTTAATTATTGTTAACCTGTTAGATTATTTGTCTTTTATTTTTGTAAGCTGCTTTTGCGTATAGGGCAGGTATAAATAGACAAAGTAAACAAACAAGCAAACAAACAAACCTATTTTGGGGGTGCCACTCAGCACAATGAAGAACTCTGGGGAAACTCACAATAAAACCTGCAATGGATAAGGACCACCCTCCAACATTGGAATCACGCACTTCTGGAAAAATGGCAGCCCACAGGAAGAAGAAATTAGCGAGGTTTCCCCCAAGCAGCTTGGCAGGCAGGCAATTTTGGATGGGAAGAAACACTCAAAATGGTAACACCGCCCCCCCCCCCACCCCACAAGCTGCCTCTAAAGTGGCATGTCCCAAGTCTGTACTACCGTGTGTTTTTCCTGAGGATGGCTTTAGAGCAACAGATGGCATCCGTACCACTGGCAGAAATGCACTTGGAAAAAAATACAGTTGCCGGCAAGGGATCTACCAACTGCACAAAATGAACGGCAGGCAGCGGGTTGGAGATAATTAAACGTACCACAGCCTTGATCGATCTGCGATAGAGAGGACATCAGCGGCCCCTTGAGGGCAAGGAAAACCCTCAGTCTTTTAATTAAGCATACCCAGGGCCGATCTCTAGTCTTATTCCGAATTAATCTGCATTGAAGTCAGAAATAGGCTAGAATGATCTGGCACTTTCCAGACGTTTTGGACCACTGCTCCCAGAATCCCCGACATGCAGGACTTGCAGTCTACAGCATCCGGATCGTACTGGGTGGCCAACTCTGGTGCCAGCCATCCAAAGAAAGGGGAAGACTGTTCTAGAGATTTCCGGGCCGTCCTTTCACCCAGTGCCTCCGGAGACATGGGCCAAAGAAAGGCCCTGGTGCGCCAGTCATGGTGGGGCACAGGGTCTGCTTTTCGGGTGGCCCCATCTCTTCCCCTGGGGCTGAGCCCGGTTCGGCCGGAAGGGGACACTCCCTTAGGAATCTGATGGTCCAAGGCACTTGACGAGGAATTCTTTGCTTAGGACCTCGTGTGGGAGGAAGAAAAACCAGATCATGTGGGGCTCCCCAGGCCATGGGCTCTAAACAAAGGACAACCGTCCTGATGACAAAAAAATGCATTTGGATGTTTGCCCAGCTTCGTCTCGGGTTACAGGGAACTAAATACAGGGCCAGTTTAGAAACAAACTTCACCTCCCCTGGAGCAGCAGATGGTCCCTGGCTGACGGGCAAATGTTTAACTTCTTCACCAGGCCACAAACCTATGACCGATCACCCCATTTCTACCATTTGATATTTGCCTGTTATTTAGCAGGGAACTCCCGACGGTTAAACATTAACAGAATGTTGCAGCCCTAGCCTAGAGCTGTTTGGTGCCCGGGACAATAAATATTGATCTAAGGGGACTATTTCTTGGCTCAGGGAAATTGATATGACCCTGGCTGCAGATTTTTATGTAGCAATCTTCTAATGCTTGGATTTGGTCCGAATACTGATGATTCCTTCCAAGTGACGAGGCATTTGGCCAACCGGCACCCAATGAAAGTACTCCAGGTCTGCGCTTGGATTTTGTCAGAGATGCGGCTGCTATTGTCACTTCCACAAGAACACAGGAAGGGCCACACCGAGGGACCACTGACCCACCTCTTAAGAACCTGAGAAGAATCTCGCTGGGTCAGACCAAAGGTCCCATCTGGTCCAGCATTTTGTGCACACAAAATGGCCATCAGTGGCCCACAGGATCCCATAAGTAGGACCTGAGTGCAACGGGGGTCTCCTACCCAATTTCCCCAGCACTTGCCCATGAGGACTAGCAGCACTGATGGCCTTCTCCTGCATGGATTGGTCCCTGCTCCTGTTCAAGCTCTCCCAGTTGGCGGCCATCACTTCATCCCGTGCCAGTGAATCGCACAGGCTGCACTGTGTGACGAAGTCCTTCCTGTGATCCCCTGAATCTCCCATCCATACACCCCTTCGGATGAGTCCAATGGATTCTAGACTTATGTGTGAGGGAGAAACAAGCCACACACAACTTGCCTGAATTTAAGGACACACTGACACTGGAAAGTTCAGTTTATTTGAGGTTAATAGATTCTTTGTCCACTTCCGAAGATCGGAGGTGAGGGGAACCGGGCTCTGCTTTGCAGCCTTCCATGTCCAAGTCGGACATCGGCTTGCACATTCTAAGAAAATGCTCAGAGCAATTTCTGCGAATCATGCGCTTTGTGCAATGTGTGAACATTCCTCCAGTGTGTGCAAATAAAAACTGGGAAACAGCCTCACGCCGACACAATTTGCACAAGGCACGCTTGCTCCGTGTCGCTTTTCCGCTTCTGCCGTGCGCCACTCATGCCAACTGAGGGAGCGATGCAGATCCACCCAGCGTGTTACAAAAGGGGCGCAGTCCGCAGCCTGCCGTGCGCGAGCTCACCTCACGCAGCAGGGCCTGGCATGCGCATGGGGCAAGCTAGCCAGAATCGGGAGGGGGCCAAACGGTGGGAATTCAGACTGCCACCCTGTGCCCCGTAAGCTCAGGCAGCACATTCTCACAAACACAGGCATTGAAAAGCAGCCGCCTTAAAGAGCCGAGCTCTCTGGGCTGAAACTGGCCAACTGCACTCTGGAGGGCCGCTGAGCCCCCCGAGATCCCCGCTGCCCCCGCGGGACTCACCCTGCAGACGGACATCTGGTTGGTGGTGAGGGTGCCCGTCTTGTCCGAGCAGATGACGGAGGTGCAGCCGAGGGTCTCGACCGAGGGCAGGCTGCGCACAATGGCATTCTTCTTGGCCATCCGGCGTGTGCCCAGGGCCAGGCAGGTGGTGATGACGGCAGGAAGCCCCTCGGGGATGGCGGCCACGGCCAGGGCCACTGCGATCTTGAAGTAGTAGATGGCCCCGCGCAGCCACGAGCCGCCGTGGACGGGGTCGCTGAAGTGGCCGATGTTGATGACCCAGACGGCGACGCACACCAGCGAGATGACCTTGGACAGCTGCTGGCTGAACTCATCCAGCTTCTGCTGCAGGGGCGTCTTCTCCGGCTCGGTGGCCACCATCTGGTTCCGGATCTTCCCAATTTCTGTGTACACCCCGGTGGCGACCACGATGCCGACCGCTCTGCCGGCAGCAATGTTGGTACCCTACAGGGCGCAACGAGAACCAGTGGTTGTCAGCCTGGCCCTCTGGTGGTGAAAATGGGAGGGGACGGTGTTCATCTGAGCAGCCTCATGGCCGTGGGGCTGGGGAAGATGGGAGCTGCCATCCCACAAATCCAACCCAGCATGGGGAAGGCTGACTGAAAGGCCTTGTCCCAGAAGCAAGACCTTGCGGTCCAGTCGTGCAGGGATACTTACAGAAAAAAGCATGTTTTTTTTATCCTGGTTGACGGCCCTGGGGTCAGGCACTGGGTCTGTGTGTTTAATGACCGAGACAGATTCACCTGCGAGAAAAGGAGGCAGATGTAATGCGAGGAGCTTGACTCAAACGGCTCAGAAAGATTCACTGAGCCAGTGTGACGCAGAGACGACTGTTGGACTCAGGATCTGGGAGTTCCCTGGGTGATTTTGCACCCCTCCCAGACTCTCAGCCTAACCTACCTAACAGGGTTGTTGTTGTGAGGAGACCTTGTAAGAGGAAAAAGTTGGAGTAGAATATGACTAGAATACGATGGGATACTCCTCACAAGTCAGAGCTCACCTGCAATACTGTGCCTAGTTCTGGGCACCAAGATTTAAGAAAGATGCAGGACATTTAGAAATGGTCCAGCGGAGGGCAACAAAAATGATCCAGGGCTTGGAAAGACTGCCCTGTGAGGAGAGACTGAGGGAACTGGGCATGTTCAGCCTTGAGAAGAGAAGATGTGGGGCGGGGGTGGGGGGGGCATGATCTCCCTCTAAGGCCAAGATCTCTTCTTGCTGATGTCAGAGGGCAGGACATGGAATAATCAAGGCAAGTTGCAACAACCTGGATTCAGGGTGGGTATCAGGAAGAGCTTCCTCATGGTCAGAGCAATAAGGCAGTGGGACCAGCTGCCTGGAGAGGTGGGGGGCTCTCCCACACTGGGGGTATTCAAGGTGAAACTGAACAGCCATCTGAGTGGGATGGTAACAGCAGGGCATTGGACCTGATGGCCTTCTTGGCCCCTTCCAACTCTACTATTCTATGATTTAGTGGAAATGATTTACAGGTATGTGAGGGGTGCCCCGCAGAGGTGGGACATGACCTTTTTTCCTCTGCAGTGGAGGGCAGGATGCGTTCCAATGCAGGAAAGCTCGGGGAACCAAGGTTTGCATGACCGCGGGGGGAAAGACGAGCATTGGCAAAGGATTATGGGAATTATAATTTGAAGCATCTGGAGCACCTGGGTCGTTTCGAAAGGTGCCACAGAGCACAGCAGGCTGAGCTGCTCTCTCAAAAGTATGCCTTGCATTTTTCAGCCACACTCACCAGTGAGAATAGACTGGTCGACCCGCAGCGTCGTGGACTTGATCTCGATGATCCGGATGTCAGCAGGCACCTTGTCCCCGACTGCAAGAAGGAAAGAGGAACAAGGCAGTCCGAGTTAAATGCGTTTGTGCTTGGAATCTGGCATGGGTGCAAGATTGATTTATTTATATTAGATTTCTATCCCAGCATTTTTTCTTACAAAGAACGCAACACACCTTACAAAATTCTCCTCCTCCTGCTCTCAGTCTTATCCCCGCTACAACAACCCTGCAGGGTAGTTTGGACTGAGAGTCTAGGACTGGCCCAAAGTCACCCAGTTGGCTCCATGGCTGAGTGGAGTCAAAACCCAGTCGCCTGAGTCCCAGTCCCACGCTCTTAACCACTACACCACACTGCCTCTCGAGATTTGTGTGCACTGAGGCAATTTCCCCATGTTTGTTTCCTTTAGCATCCTTCCAGCTCTTTTGGAGGCTGAGAAAATGGCAGCCGCTGCATCATTTTGAAATGGTGGAAATGAAATGGTGCAGAATCTTTGGCGATCGTTCTGCAAGGCGCTCCCCTTCTTTAAGATGCAGGGCAAAAGAAAACTACCACTGATTTTCTTGGAGAAACCTCTCTGAAATTTCAATTTGGCTCTGATTCAGGTACATCTCCAGTGCTATTTCATTTTACTGTGACTCCGTTATTTTATCCGTGTCTGATTGTAACTAAACTGTAATGTACGTGCAGATTACCTTTTCCTCCGCTTACTTGGACCACCATCTCCCCTGCCTCTGTTGTCCCCACAAGTCTATTTCAATTTGCAAGCTCCTTGGGGCAGAGAACTCTCAAATTAGCACATACAGAGACATATAAATGACCACAGTAACACCACAAATAATCATACACTCTATTTCTTCTTGTTTGTCTGGTGCTGGTGCCGATTTCTGTGGTCTCTCTCGGTTTTTAAAAGTCACCTTCTCCTGAACCCATCCCCCCCATCAGAACTGTGCTGAACCTCAGTCGGCAGCCCCGTCCGGGTCACCTCTGGCCCCATCGGTTCCCCCAGAGACCAAGCTCCCCGGATCCTCCTCCTCCCTGCTCCTGACCACCGATTGGCAGCATCCGAACACTTCCACTTGCCACCCCATTGAAAAGGCAGTCCTTTCCCAAGCTTGAGTTTCTGGAATCAATTTTATTACGGTTGAGCATTTGCACCCTGAATCCCTCTGGAGAGGAGACCAATGCAGTTTACATGGATCCACTGTGTCCTCGCCACAACAACCCTGCAAGGTAGGTTAGGCTGAGACTGGCCCAAAGGCACTCCGTGAGCTTCATGGCTGAGTGGATCTCCCAGGTCCCCAGTCTGGCCCTTGAACCCCCACGCCAGGCTGGCTGTCAGTAAGAGCTCTGAGCTAAAATTTTATTTATTTATTTAAAGCTTTTCTATACCATCCAACTACTAACATCTCGGGACAGTCTGACAGTAAAGATGGCAAAACATGAAATGAAGCACAGCATCCAAATGATTCCAATAAAGTCCAACCCACATTAAAACATTAAAATAATGGGAAAATAAATAGATTTTAGCCTGGCCCAGAAAGGAATAGTGTCGGCACCAGGCAAACCTCCCTGAGGAGCATAATCCACAGTCGGGGTGCCACCACCAAGAAGGCCCTTCTCTGGGTAACCACCCTCCTATTCTCCTTTGAGGAGGGCTGCCGAAGAAGGACCGCCACCTGAAATTGGTGGGTATTTGTTGGCATTTTGGCTCCTGGCATCTCTTTGGTCCTTCTGCCTTTCATTCACCCCTGGAATGCAGCCGCTCTCTCCCAAATGGAATGGGGCCCATGGACCAAAAGAAGGTTTGCACTCCGGTGCCAACACTACAAAAAGAGAGCAATGTAGCGTAGTGGTGAGCATGTTGTCCTAGGACTGGAGAAATCTGGATTCCCATCCCCACTCAGCCCCACTGAGTGACTGGGCCAGTCGACTGGGCCTACCATGCAGGGCTGTTGTGAGGTTTGGATAAAAAAGTGAAGGATAATGTAAGCTGCCTGGTTTCTTTGCAAGATGCAAAAGGTAGGGCATAAATATAAGACATCAATTTACGTCTTGCGGGACCTTAAAAGGCAAGGGATGTCTCCAGAGGACTAGCTTATGTCCTCGGAAATATGTTAGTCAGGAAAATGGTCCTGTAGCCCCCAATGCTGGGCACTGACTTCCTGAGCACATGCAGGACTGAATCCCTTCGTTTTTTCAGACAAAAACCCCTCTGCTTTTTTTGTTACAGTGGACTGATATAGCCACCCCTCTGGGAGAAAACCATGAAGAATCCCGAAATTCTTTGCAAGAAACACATTTGCCTGACATTCGAAGGCACGCGTGCAGAACGAGCGCAAACCTGCTACCACAGGGAAGGGTGAGATCCGTTGGTGTGAAGCATCATTCAGGCTGGCTGGGGCTGATGGGAAGAGCGCTCTAAAACATCTGGAGAGCATCAAAGGGACCTGCCCCTGATCTGAGGTGGCTTCTCTGCACTCTGCCCTCTGAAGTCCCAAGAAAAGCCATTTGGGGAAAACACACCCGGAAAACAAGCCGCCCTTCCCAGTCCTACCTGCAACCTCCACGATATCTCCCGGGACAATGTCCCGCGCTCGGATCCGCTGAACCCCATTCCTGTCTGCCCGGATCACCTTCCCCATTTCTGGTTCATATTCCTTTAAGGCCTCAATGGCACTCTCTGCATTTCTTTCCTGCAAAAATTTAATCATATAAGAGGGAATGTGGAGCTTTGCTTACTCAACAGCTCTCTAAATGATCTCTGTATCCCTTTGGTAGCCTCCCTAAATTTTGAGAAACGAGCAGTCTTCAGGGCTAAGCATAGGCCAGGCTTAGCTTGCCAAACTGAAACTAACCAAGTTTCACCTGCCTTCCTCCAGTATGGAGGCCTTGCCTAAGCTCAGCAAACCCAACAAGTCATTTTTTTCACCACTGTTGGCCATCTGAGCCCAAGTTTGCTTTTTAGAAGCCACAATAAGAAACAACAGTTGGTTCTGTGGTTTATCTATACCACCATGGCTTGCCAGGTTGTCTGAACCCGGGATCAAGGTTGCGATGGTCTTAGTATGCAACTACCATGGAGTCCTTGGGAAAGACGGGCGGGACCACTCTGGCCATCCAGTCTCTATGTGTGGTGCAATGAGGAAGAGGCAGCTGACACAGGCAGGGAGTGATGCACCCTGGGATTGAATTTCAGGTGCAGGTGGCTGATGGGATACATGCCAACAGTGGGAAGACTGAGGGGGAGGACAGAAGCCATGTTGAAGTAGAAAGCAGATGGTCAGGTACAGGATGGTTAAAAATTGCGAAGCATGGCAACTATGCAGGGCTGCTTATGGGAACGCAGTCAGTGCCTGGGCATCGCCTGCCTGGGCCAGGTAAGGAGAAGCTGTCCCGGTTTCACCTGTCTGCCTTGCCTTGGGCAGGGAGAAGCTGAGCAGGTATGAAATGCCTCCCTTTCTCCGTTATCTCAGTGGCGTCTGAGAAAGGCACCATGCAAACCAGAAAGGAAGTTCTCTCGTTTCTCCAGGGACATCCTGGGGCAGCCGCAAATGCAGGTAAGGCACCAGCTCCTACCTGCCAGACGCCCACCACCGCGTTGGCAATGAGGATCGTGATGATGACGACGGGCTCCACGAAGGCCGTGGTCGTTTCTTCGCCCTCCTCAAACCAGGCCAGGATCTGCAAGGGGAAGACATGTGGGGAAAGGTTGAAGAAGTCAGTCCACCCTCCCGAAAAACAAAGACCCCGTGCTCCAGATCCCTCTGTCTGAAAGGAGAGGGAGTAAAAATAAAGCCCTGCTCTGCGGTTATTTCAGAAAAATCACTTTTATTTACCAGGAAACACAGAGGAGGATGCCGCTCTCTCTCTCTCGAATGATGGAAGGCTTTAAGACTATCAACAGAGGGCATCAAGTTTGAGCTACCCACAGAAAAGCTACAAACTTTCATGATCTTTAGCATGTTTACCAGTGGGATCCATAAAAAGGAAGAAAATGAAATAATAGTGGACTTAAATCCCTGGTAAAGCTGCTTGTTTCTACAATCCTAAAAATAAGATTGTCTTTTATGGAATGCATTTGAATATTTTGTCTGCCTCTCAATTATGTTTTCTGTATTTGCCTGTTTCTATTTTAGTATGCGTTCTTATATTTACATGTTGTTTTATAATGCACAATTTCATCCATGAGTGTTTTGTGTCCTCATCCCACCCACAAATGTCAAACATTTCATGAATAAGCAGTGTCAGCCGTTTCGTGGCTGCAAAATCCCCAAATGCTGGGGACCCAGGAAGGAGACCATCCCTATATTCAGAGTCAGAAGCTGCTGGTTCTAACACGGCTGCTTTACCAAGCCTTCTGGTTCTGAAGCTGATCTGACATTCATTTATTTATGAACTCGAGGTGGCTTCCATCATTCTCCCCCTGCTCTCAGTCTGATCCCCACAACAACCACCCTGTGAGGGAGGCTGGGCTGAGAGTCTGTGCCCGGCCCCAAGTCACCCAGCCAGCTCCACGGCCAAGCCGGGACTCGAACCCGGATCTCCAGAGTCCCAGCCCTGCGCTTTGTCACCAAGCCACGCTGGCTCTCTCTATGTGAGGAATCCTCGTAGGCACTTCCCTGGGCGAGCACACAAAATTAAGGCACCCATTGTGGACCTGAGCTCATGGGGCCACGGGAAGCACCGGGCCACAGGAAAAAAGCATCTGCAGATCACCAAGCGCTCCTCCTCCCATGTTGACTTTCAGGGCAGTTTAAGTTTCCACAGGAATAAATCACACACACCTGCCAGGTAAAACCTGCAACAGCTTTGACAGCCTCCTGGGTCCCTCTTGATCCAGGCTAGGGCCAAAGTCCATTTTGTAGAAGCCCTTAGCGACATGCTACAGGGGACTGAGCCAAAGGGGGAGAATATCCCCGCCCCCCGCATAAAAACGCCAGCATATTTTAGCCCAGTCTTGTTCCCAAAAATTCATCCTTAGGAGAGGCATTCCAGCCTCTGGAATGGAGAAACACAATGTCCCAAGCCAGAAATGGGCCAGGCATCGAATGCTTAGGGAAAGGGTGGTTTTGCATTTCTAAGTCAGCGCCAGCTGGCATTCAGCAAAGCGAGTGGCTGGTCAGGTAAGAGCTACAGCTGCACCGTAGGGTGAGGTTTGGGAGCAAACTGTTTCTTCCTATTTGGCACCAGCACTGTAAAAAGATCACACTTGACACAATCCTGGTGCAACTCAAGAGGGACCTGGGGAAGAGGCCGAGCCTCCGGGAGCTTGGTGGACTTTGAGAATACGTATGCTATACATTTGTAGAATGATGCAATTACCCATCATTATTCCATCCCAAATACCGGGGTGCAGAACCTCTGGCACACGGGACAGATGCAGCCCCCATGGGCCTTCTGGGCTGGCCATGCCCCTTCCCCATCCTCCATCCCTTTCTCCCTTTTCGTTCTTTGTGGCTTCCCGGCTTTTCTGTGCTCCCCAGCCGACCCCAGCCCAAAGGGCCGAACTACCCCTTCTTCAGCTCACTTGCTGGGTTTGGACCACCATCAATTTTAACATCACCCCACCCTCCTTGCTATTAGTAGCATCCATCGCTGGAATGAGCCCACCAAAAGTTTCTCTCAAACCAGATGTGGTCCTTTGGCCCCAAGAAGTTCAGCACCCAGCTTTAGATGGACATGCATATTTTTTACTTGAATATGTTTTAAAAAGGGGTGGGGGAATTTGAACTTTCAAAAGAATCATTGCAATTTTGGAAGGAGGAAATGTCCCGAAAGATTTTTTGAATGAGGGTTTTTCCCCTGTAACATGTATCGTATGGTCCTGATGATGGGGTGGCACAGTATTTTTAAGATTTATCTTAATTGCATGTTTAATGTCATATGGGTAGACATGCACATGGTAGGCATGTCAAGACATGGTAGGCATGTCAAGACATGGTAGGCATGTCAAGAGCAAAGTTGGCTGGAGCCGGGGATCAGACTATATGGCCCAACAGACTCGCTCTGTTTCTATGCTTTTATTTCACCTGTATGCATTTTAGTTGTATTTTATATTATAAAATTACCTTTAAAAATTAAAAAAAGATGGACATGCATATTATCTCATTTAACATATCTTACCTTGTTATTGATTGATGTATTTATTAGGTATTTATCATATTGTAAGCCATCCAGAGATAATTCGTATTGGATGGAATTAAATTATCCAAATAAATAAATAAAATTTACATCAAAGTGGGGGGGGGTGCATTTCTTGGTGGGGGGGTGCTTGCCTGCACTTTAATCGCTTATTCCCTGGAATGGTGCTCCAAAGACTGGCCCTAAATGCACCAGAGTTTGGAAAGCCCAGCAATGAGGGAGAGAGGAGGAATCTGCACTGAGACCATCCTCATTTTTAGTGGCCACTCAGCCACCGTCCTCCCCGAAAGCATTGCTGACAAAGAGGATGCCCATTTGCACAATGTGGCCATGTTGAGGTACAGACTTGGGAACTGTGGCAATGATGCAAAGATGGCCTCTGATGGCCATCCCAAAGAGGACTGTCCTCAGAAAATGGGAGAGGTGGCCACTCTATTAGGCCACGAGAGAAGGGCCTTTCTGGTCACGCCCACCAGCGCAATCTCCAGTAAATTTTGGTGCACTAGTGCCACCCCCAACCTCCATCACCATAAGCAAGTTCCAAAGGAAAGCCAAAAAACAGAGGGTGCTGTGTTGATCCAGGGAGAGCAAACCGGTTCTAGGAAATTTCTTCCACTTGGCACAGTCTTCAATGAGGACCCAGACCCCCAAAAGGCCGTCTGCAGCCACAAACACCGTCCTGTAGCTTTGAGAATCTGTTTCTCGAAGCTCGAAGGGCGGATGAGAAGCCGAGCATTCCTGCTCTGCAAAATTTCCCGAGGCAGAGTCCCTGTGAGCCCTGGCTAGATCACACCATTGCTCTCTGCTCTGCTTGAGTTTTTGCTAGCTGCTAAGGAAGGTTTTGTGTGGGTATGTTGGTCGCTGACGTGTGTTTCCATGTCCTAAGCAGTGGGGGTGTCCTGCCTTGTTTTTGCTGAGGTCCGGTTATGCCGAGTTGTTTTACGCAGGTCCTAATTTTGGGGGGGGGGGGGCTGAGCGCCAAAGGATTGAGGCCTTTGAATTGCGGTGCTGGAGGAGACGCCTGCGAGTCCCTTGGACCGCAAGGCGATCAAACCGGTCAGTTCTAGAGGAGATCAACCCTGACTGCTCTTTAGAAGGCCAGATCCTGAAGATGAAACTCAAATGCTTTGGCCACCTAATGAGAAGGAAGGACTCCCTGGAGAAGAGCCTGATGCTGGGAGCAATAGATGGTAAAAGGAGAAGGGGATGGCAGAGGATGAGGTGGCTGGATGGAGTCACTGGGGCAGTCGGCGTGAGCTTGGGCGGACTCTGGGGGATGGTGGGGGACAGGAAGGCCTGGAGAAGTGTTGTCCATGGGGTTGCGACGGGTCGGACACAACTTTGCAACTAAACAACAAATCTGGGGAGAGGACGGGCCGGAAGCCACACAGCTTTGTTTCATTCTGTGATCCTTTCCTTTTAGGAACCGCTCGCTGAAATTGATTTCTGATTTCTGGTATTCTGGTTCCCAGGAAAGTCTGTGAAGTGGCACACACAAGTTAAAAAAGGAAAGCAGCCACTTTCTCGTAACAAAAAGGAGGAGGAGTGGGGGGAAGCTCACGGCTTTCCGTAAGGATACCTCTACAGCCCGCCCGCCCAATTTTGGCCCCGATGCTGGTCTGCATGCAATATTTTTCACTACCCACTAAAAGCTTTGAACATTGTGGATATCTTAAATGGCTTATTTAATGCAGTGGCAGGTGTTGAAGGCACCTCAAATTCCTCTGCCCAAGTACGTTTCCCAGGTCAGGGTACAACGGAAGGAAGACGAGTGGCTAGAACCTAGATGCCTCCGCAAACAGGAATCCGGTCTGATACCAAAGAGACCGCTTTTCAACAGCAGCTACCAAATGGAAATCTACTTGGTCCCCTATTATTGTTTGCTGTGTTTCTCCCCCTCCCCTCCATCAGATGAATTTTCCTGGGAATATTCCTTAAGCAGCTGCAAAGCATAATTTTCCTTCTCCGGGAGGGGGAAGCCAGCCCAGGAGGGCAAAAGAGCTGGTCCCTGTGGTGCTACTGCCGCACTCGGAAAAAGGAACTGAGCAATTTGCACAGGCAGGACTGAATTCCCACTGAACTGGGGCCGGGTTCTTTGTTTCCTTTTTTATTGGATTAAGTGATTGATGTTAATTAGAAAACAAAGTGTGGGGAGGAGAAGGAAACCCACCGGGCCCAATTGCTTGTTTATTCAAAATGCTTTTATTCTGCAGATTGGGAGAGAGGGTTAGAGAAAACTGGATGGCATTTCGGCTGCATGGGAAAAAGACGCAGCCCCGCTACCCCTGGTCACATGCCTTCGATGGCAGCAGGTCTATCGACTTCTGCACAGTCTCAAGAGACACCACATGGATCCTGAAAAGGTCCCTGTTTTTCCGAGAACTGTGCATTTCATTTCCAATCCCTTTCCTCTTTAGCGCCTTTAATAACTACACTTTTTTGTCTACCACTTCCTCTACCAGCAAACATCACAGCTGAGTGTCCTTCGAAAACCCAATGAGAAACAAGAAGTTTTCAGCAATTTGCCAAGAATCCACCAGCTTCCAGAAGTATTGAAAAATAAAAAACAAGAAAGGAGAGGAAGGCAAAGGAGAAAGGGGAGAGGAGAAAGAAACGAACCCAGAAGAACCTTCTTTGCAGAAGCAGAGGTGTGATCGTGTGCAGGGGTCACAGAATGCTAAGCCCCTGTTGTGGAGTGGGTGGATGAGGGTCGGGGGGGAGAATGGCATGGAGTGCTTCGGAAAAGGGAGTGGCTGACCGCCTTGCTGCTCAGTGGCTCACTGCAGCCAGCGGCTATACGCAGATCCAGCCGCTTCTGGTACCTCACTGGGAAGACACGATGTGGAGCAATGGCAGACAGCCTCGGTGGCGGCAGCACCCTGCTTCTGGATTGCAGCAAGGTTCGTGCAAACTGAAGCGGAAACTGGGAATGAGATGAACAGGGGCCTGCGATTGCGCACCCTTGTCCTGGTGCTTGGCATTTTGCGTGGGGCGTGAGGGCGAGTTTTGCAAGCGAAGCCCTGAATTCCCATCCAGCCCTGGAGTCAGACTCACCACACAGGCCGTCAAAGCAAAGACTTCTGCTCCCATCCTCTTGTCGGGAATTCGCATTTGCAGGACCATGTTGCAAGTGAATCAACGTGAGTGGGAGGGGCTCGGCAGCTGCTCTGTGCACCGCTAGTCCTGGGTTTGATCCCTGGCATCTCCAGGGAGGGCTGGGAAAGGCTCCTGCCTGGGAGGCTGCTACCATTCCGCATAAACAAAGCTAAAATGGGCCACAAGTTTTACTCTGCACGTGGAAGTGTTCACATCCCGACGGCAGCAATGGGAAGCCTGCCACCCTCCAGAACTTACTGGAGTTCATCCCTTATCTTCTTTAGCGCTGGGGCTGATGGGAGTTGTGCTTCAGGAGGGTCCCAGCGATGGCAAGCGTAGCTTCAGCAGAAGGGCCAAATTGGACTTTGGAGATATTTGCGGCCAAGCGTGCCCACATGCACATCAGGTTGCCATTTTAAGTGTGCTGTGCATGGACGCTATTCCTGGAATGGCCCACACGGTGGTGCGGGGGGAGCTCTCTCAGCCTGAGGGCTGAACTCAAAGACAGAGAAGCCCCCGGGGCAGCTGTCCATTTGTGGGCAGAACGGAAGGAAAGTGGGTGGAGACAGCAGAAGGGGCGGGGCAAATACCCATCACCGACCAATTGTTTCTTAAAGCTCTTTTGGAAACAAGATTCCCCTCTTTTAGGGCTCGCGCACACCTAGCAATCATAAAATATTGGAATAGAAACAGCTCCTCCAGTCTCAGTTCTTTAAGCTATAAATCACTGAATTTGTTATTATAGAAACATAGAAACAGAGCGAGTCAGAAGGGGCCTCCTGGGCCATCTAGTCTGACCCCCGGCTCCAGCCGGCTCCACTCACGACATGCCCACCATCAAAAGATCCTAAACAATCAAGGTTTCTTAATTCTATCATGGTTAGATATTCCATTCTTCTAGGGGCCACAGCTGATAATTCTCATCTTAGGGACTGGGGATTCTGTCGAGATGCCCCAATTGGCCATTTATCAATGTCAAATTCCAAAGAAATGCTCCTTGGTTTAAATTGATCAAGCGCTATCATTTTAGATCCAATTAATATCTCTAACTACAACCTCAGGGGGGCCCTGACAGGGCCTTCACTTCCAAACTCTGCCCACAGATCTTTCGTTTGACGGATATTCTCGAATCGCAATGGAGCACCGTGTCTGTATCTGTGGATCACTTGACATGGAAAATCTTTCATGTTACAACATTCATTGCTCTCTATATCGTGAGCCTAAAGATATTTTTTTGACTGGTATTCTACCTGCCTCTAATGCTTATTCTGACTCTGAAAAACTAATGTTCTTGTTATCAGATTCGGATAGTCTTCGCTTTTCACCGTTGCAGCTAAGATAAGAGCTGGCTGCTCTGCAGGGGATGCATCCTGATATATAGCTGGCCCATTTTTAATAACAAGTTTTGTTACATTAGATTTATGGTTTTATCTGTTAAATCGGTGTTTCAGTTATGTAAATTTGTCATGGTCTATGACTCAATACAATAAACCTTACTAGTAGTGCTACTTAAAGCTCTTTCTATCGTAACTTAGGGAACACGGCTCAACCTCTCAGGATGAGGGGAAATGGGCAAAAAAACCCAAAACTGTCAAATGCTCAATGTTTGGAGGAACAGGGCGGCCACAGAGGAATCTCAAAGGCCCAAGAGGGCCAGATTTGGCCCGAAAGTTGCCTACTCTTGCCCAATTTGGCTGCAGATAGCAAGCCGATGGCTTTCCAATTTCCTCTGCAAAACCAAATGGAAACATCAATGCCACGCCTGCCCTGAGATACTCCGCTCGTTTTCTTGGCGAACGTTAGATGGACCCATTCCTGCACTGTGCAGAAAGAAAGTACTGAGCTATTTCGGCCAGAATTCAGCATTTGGAGAAATTCAGCAGTATTTTAAAAAACGAGAACTAGAGAGCATGGGCTTCATTTCACTGCTCCTCCTCAAGTTTCTCAACAGAGCCAAAATTAAATGGTAAGGCATGAGACCCCCCCCCCCCCACAGGCAAGCATCACTCTGCTCTCAGAATGCGAGTGATGTTCATGCAGAATTTGGTCCTCGGGGAATCCTTCCAGGCTTAGCATGGAGCCCACACCTCCCCTAAAGGAAGCAGCAGCGGTCCCCTTTTCCCACTGTCCCACGGGCACGATGGGGACTCCGAGCGGGACAGCGTTAGCCCCATATCTGAACCACTGAGTGGCTCATACTTACAAATGAAATGAAGGCCGCCAAAAGCAGAATGCGCACGAGGAGGTCTTCAAACTGCTCGAGTATCAATTCCAGGAGTGACTTTCCTAGCAAGGGGTGCAAAAATACAGAATTCCTAGAATCAGAGAAATACCCCAAGGAGACCAGAGCTCAAGTGCACGGACCCACACCTGCCAGCTCAGGGGGGAACAAACTTCAGCTTAAAAAGATGAGAGGCCCGGCCAAGTCAAATGGAACTCTGCTCCTTTGCCCACTCTGACATGGATTGTGACCACCTGACACCCCTGCTTTTATCCTCACAACATCCCTGCAAGGTTGGTTTGGTTAAAAGAAGTGACTGGCCCACAAGCAGCCCGTGAATTCCATGGGCAAGCAGAGATCTGAATGGGAAGGTCCCCCTGATCTTATGTCCTTTTAGTCATTGGGTACCTCTGAAGCCCACCGGGAAAGTGGACATCTTAATGCGGGATCTTCATTGTGAAGAAGTTGTGGGCTGGGTTCAGTCAACATGATAAACCTAACTCAAGAGTCGAATGTGGGTTGTCTTTCAACCATGGGCTATTTTCTTGTCTGCACTAACAAACCATGTTTTGTTAACCACAAACAAACCACAGTTCACAACCCAACAACAAACCATGGATTCTCATCAGGGGTTTTCTGAGGCTAACCAACCATGGCTTGCTATCACGGCTGGGTTCATCCAAGAGAAGGCCCCAGAGCTCAAAGACAATCCACAGTTCAACAACAAGCCACACTCTACCCTTGCATGGGGGAAACTGTTTTGACTGAACTTAGCCCCAGACAAGCCATGGAGATTAAAAAAAAAATCGCACAAGCTCTGTGTTATGTAAGATCATCGAGCTTTTAAGAATTCCTTAAATAAAAACTCAAGAAGGAAGGTAGAGGTGAAACGGACTCAGATTCATATAATTGAATGGTGGGGCCTCTTGGAGAAGACAAATAAAGCAGTACTTCGTGATCGTATCACCTACCTTCTTCAGCAGGGAGTTCTGTAGATTTCCCATTGAAGACACCCAGAGAGCAGCCACGCAAAGAAAAGAGAAAGAGAAAAAAGAAGGAAGGGAAAGGTTAGTTTTGGATGTGAGCGTGCATGTCCCCTTCTCTCACAACTTCAGCTTCTTCTTGTGTCATGGGCAATCCTTGAAAGGGTCAACGTACTTTTCCCCTACACGAGGGATGGTACAAGGACGGTGCACTGGCCACATCCAGTACCTCAAGACATACTCTGGGAAGAACCCAAAGGAAAGCACATGCTCAGGAGGTTTACAAAATGGCTTCCTTTTGAGAAAGACGATACAGGCCAGGGTGCACACACCTTCAAAGACGTGACTGTCCTGAGCTGGTCCCTTCCCTCCCCACCTCACATCCTAAAACTCCAGGCAGGCTTTTGAAATGTGATTCTTTACTGAGATTCCAGATAACAGGACAGCTTGACTGCTAAATAGCTTCTCCCCAAGCAGGAAAGAGAGGCCCCTGCCCATGTCAAGAGTTGAATCCAAACTGAAAGCTTTCCCTCAGTCCCCCGCTTCCCGCTGGGCCAGGGACGGGGCCTTGCACCTGCCTGATTCTCACGCTTGGCCTGAGAAACTCCTCTGGGCACAGCCGAAGACGCCGCGAGGCCCTCCCCGTGGGCCAGCGCCTCCACATCCCACAGCAATGGCAGCTCCCGCGGCAGCCCCTGGGGTGCAAGAGGCCGGCCCGCTCTCTGACACTAAATCCCCAAGAGAGGGAGGGATCCTCAACCACCGCCGCTTCACCTTGACTGGTTCAGACAACCTGCTGCAGCAACAGCCCATGGTTCACTGCCAACCCACAGAGAACCCACCTGTGTGGGTTAGTGATCAGCACACCCGTGTCTGGAGCGGGTGTCTTTCCCACCCCTCCCTGGAGAGGGCCAGGGCTTGCATCCAGGCCCTTCTGCATGCATTATCATCCTTGCCCGGGAGGACTGCTCACACTTCACGCAGGAAAGCGTTCCACAGAGGCCACAACCAAGAAGGCCCCGCAGATGGCAGGCGCCTCTCGTGCATCACATAAACAGTAGCAACCAAGATCCCGGAACACATCCTCAAAAGAAATGAACAAAGGAACGAAAGCCTGTGCCCCTCTCTCCTCCTAGGGGAGAAGCCATGGTTTGTTATGCTATCCATCATGGGTGTTGCTAGCCCTGGATTCAAGTAGCCCCTCAAAGGGCTAACACTCCGCCCTCTTTACGAAGAATTTTCCTCCCTCCCCTTCCTAAATTGTTTGCATAGCAATGAAGTGCCATTAGGAGCTTTGACTTGCAGCTTAACCAAGTGGGATGCAGCAGGAGGGTGTTACAGGAACGCAGAGACGGCAAGTTACCGTATTTTTCGCTCTATAAGACGCACTTTCCCCCCCTCAAAAGTAAGGGGAAATGTCTGTGTGTCTTATGGAGCGAATGTGTGTGTGCCCGACACCCAGGACACTGCAGGCTGCCTGCACCCCGTGGCTCCACCTGGCCGGCACGTGCTCGGCGCGCCCTGCTCCCCCCCCCCGGCGCAGGTGAGAGCTGTTAATCACAGGTCGGTGTGTGTTTTCAAATGGCAGCCCGTCTTTTAATGAAGCCCATAGGGAAGTGGTGGGGAATGTGTCTGTGATTATCAGGAAGCTTTCCATGGATCCCTCCTCTAAAAACTAGGTGCGTCTTATGGTCAGGTGTGTCTTATAGAGCGAAAAATACAGTAATTTATACACTGGATTTATGAGGAGTGGGATGCAAATGAAGTGTTTATCTTATTGCAAGTGCGAGAAATTAATCGGCTGATGGTGCCTTCGGCGCGATTTAAATAAACCTCGATCATGATTTCCAGATCTGCATATATAAATTGAAATTAGCACATGCAGACTGTTTGCAGATTAGCACTTGCAGCAGCCCCAGGAAAAAATGTGGGCTCCCAAACCCAAATCGGAAACTGCAGCTCACGTGCATTTCCAACTAACTATTTTCATTTATTCTGCACTGTATTTTTCTCCCTCTTTTTCTCCAACAAAGAATTCAAGGAGGCTTGTGTGGTTCGACACCTCCTCTCCGTTTTATTCTCACAACAACCCTTTAAGAGAGGCTACATGGTTAGCTTCTCCACTCCCTCTGCTTTTCCTTTGATTCTGCCCTTCTCTTTGACCCCATCGGCTCTTGGCTGGCCCCAAACTGTGGCTAATAGTCCACCTCCAGAACTCTGCTGCCTATCAGTGCAACGAACCAGCCCAATCTCAGAGCACCTGCACTTCCAAGCATGGAGCACAGCCCACTTCCGAACCAGGAGGAAGGCATCCACATACTTGAAAGAATTTTGCGTGTTTCTAAATTCCGCTGTGGAATGACCTGATTTTCACCTTTCTGGATTCGAGGTGAAGAATGAAAGAATTCCATGCTCAAAAGCCAGCTGGAAGTGAAGCGGAAGCTTTTCCTTTTTCTTTTTGTTCCTATGCTGCCCAAAATCCAAGAATTTGTGAGGCGCTTGCAAGAATGGCAACTCTAATAGGCAATGTGATAAAAGCATCACGTAAATTCTGAGCACAGAACATCTGAGGTAGCTAAAGGCAACGACCAATGCAATATATATTTATTTATATTTATTTATGTTTTCTTTAGTTGCAAAGTTGTGCTTGACCCTTCACGACCCCATGGACAACATTCCTCCAGGCCCTCCTGTCCTCCTCCATCCCCCAGAATCCACCCAAGCCCCAGTGACCCCATCCAGCCACCTCACCCTCTGCCATCCCCTTCTCCTTTTGCCCTCAATTGTTTCCAGCATCAGGCTCTTCTCCAGGGAGTCCTTCCTTCTCATTAGGTGGCCAAAGTATTTGAGTTTTGCATTCAGTATCTGGCCTTCTAAAGAGCAGTCAGGGCTGATCTCCTCTAAGACTAACTGGTTTGATCTCTTTGCAGTATTCATTTATTCATGTATTTATAGGTTGCCTCTAACTGCATAGGCCTTCCTAGGCAGCTTACAATACATAAAACATATTAACAAGACAAAACACATTAAAACCAATTAAAACACAACAAAATACCTCCTTGAAAGCAATATGAAAAGGGCCACAAGCATTCAGGCGAAATGTTTTTAAAAAATCCTAAAAAGTTTATGTCTTCCTCTGGCGCCAAAAGGAAAATAAAGATGGCGCCCGGCAAATTTCCCTAGGGAGGGAGTTCCAAAGATGGGGAGCAGCAGTGGAAATATGAGGACCAAATATGACAGCAGGTGCTCAGTCTCCCCCAGGTGGCATCAAATGTCAGCAAAACATTGGCCTGGTGACATGATTACAATGCTGGTGCTGGGCAGACCTCGCTGGGAGGAACATTCCACAATCAGGGGTCACCACTGGAAAGACCCTGCTCTTGTGGTCATTCGCTGAACCCCAGTTCACAATGGAACAGGCACTGTTTGGTATTGTGGTCCTAACCTGTGTAGTACTTCATGGGGAAAATCAACACAGACTATCTTAGTACAACACCGATGACAGAGGAGGGTCCCTTGGGGTGTGCAGGGCAAGCTGTGTGCAGAAGGATTTGCCCTGACACATTGCCACTGTGCCCCACTCCTCAGCACCCGCCACGGCCTCACTTTGCCTCATGGCAGGGCCGCCCCTTAAGCTGCCTCCCAGAGATCCCTCTTCCCCAAGCACCGAGCTGCAGTTCAGCAGTCGACGCATGGAAATATTCAATCTGAGAGAAAAGGCCCACATTTTAAAACATGTATGCTCGCTTTTCCGCTTAATGCAGAGACAGAACAGAACGGAATTCCGGGTTTTAAAAAACGAAAGTGATTCTGGCATTTCCTGGTGCCCTAAGGCAGCTCTTGCAAACCTGCATTGAATATTTCACGCAAAGCACAGAATCACCGGGGGGGGGGGGGCAAAGCTCCCCCTCTTGCCCCAGCCTGCCAAGTGCCCAGAAAAGTGTTGAACACCTTCGGTGAATCAACGCACATTTTATAGCTGAGCTCGGAAGTGACTCACAACTGCAGGAGACACCGAGAATGGCCGCGAGCTTGTTTTCTGAGAAGGGGAGTCTGCGGAAGGGGAAAGAGTCATCACGGGCCAGCTGCGATTTCACTTTCAGTGCATTTTTTAAATTATAGTTATACCCTGCCCCTTGTCCTTCCAAGGAACCCAAAATGGCTTCCATCATTCTCCCCCTGCTCTCCACCTGATCTTCACGATGATCCTGTGAGGTAGGTTGGGCCGAGATTCTGAGACTGGCCCAAAGCCACCCTGTAAGCTTTGTGGCTGAGTGGGAAACAGGGCCTAGATCTCCCCAATCCCAGCCCAGCAATCTGACCACTATACAACACTACCTCTGTATAGAACAGCCCTTCAAATATCAGAAGGGGGCTATCCTATCTTTTCCAGGTAACCATGCACAAACACATCCAATTTATATCCTGAAGTATTTTCAAAGAAGCCACAGTGGCTTACGTGGGCTTCCCTCCTCTCCATTTTGACCTCAAAACCACCCTGTGGAGCGGGTCACACTGGGAGTGTGTGGCTGGACCTGAGTCATCCAGGAAACCTCCTGGCCAGGTGGGAACTGCAGCCCAGGTATCCTGGGTCCCAGTCCAACTCTCTAACCACTGTGTAACACTGTCTCCCCAAAGATATTTCCAGCACGATTCTAGCTGTACTTACTCAAGAGTAAATCTCACCATGTCTGATGCTATTCTCTCCCAAGTCCTTTCAGATCATACCCAGGGTCTTTCCGAAACTAAAAAGGTTGGCAGGCCAAACTTTGAATTTTGTGCAGCGAGAGCACCTTCTCTGTGGTGGCGCCCAATCTATGGAATGCGCTCCCCAGAGAGGTCCGCTTGGCGCTGTCGTTATTTGTTTTTCGGCGCCAGGTCAAGACCTTTTTATTTAAACGTCATTTTAATTGTTAGCTTTATTTATTGATTTTATATCTTTGGCCAGGATGTCTCCAATTACATTGTTTTTATATGTTTAATATGTATTTATTTATTGTTGTGAG